GTGCTTTTTGCAGAAACTCACTACAGTCCATTTAACATGGTTTCCTATGGAACATGTTCACATCTATACTTTTTTTGAGCTGCTGCGTTTTTGGAAAGGGTCAGGGACTTTTTTAAAAGCAATAGAGTTCAATTGAGAAGCTGCTGAAATGCATGGTAGTGTGTTTTTGCTACTTTTTGCATTTTTATTCTGCCCAGCAACAAAAACATTCTACTTTAACAAAAAAAAAAAAAAGAACTGAACAAAATGCAATACGCGGTTAAAAAAACGCATGTAGAAAAACGCAATACAGACTGCAAAAAAGAACTGGAGAAATGCCATTCAAAATGCATATATGTGAACCAAGCCTTATGTGGTTTAAATATTGTTGGTATTAATGATTCCTTTTTGGCTACAGCATGCTGAAAAAAAACTCAGTTTATCCCGTGGTAAACTTGTGACTGCTGTTAAAAAGGGTACAGACAACACATTGATGAAAGAACAACATCCATCATCGAGCAGATCAACAGAATATTCCTAAGAATGGTGACCTCATCAGTAGATACAACAGAGGATTGTAAGGGGAGGATGATTTTGTATTAAAGATAATACCAGAACAGATGGGAATGTGCTGCTTATTATAGAAAGTTCATGTCTTCTGTTTATGTCATTGAGTTAATCTCTAGTGAGATCTCCACCCGTAAGTCAGGGGAAGGCTGGCAAGGCAGGATGGTATAAATGTTCTGATTGTCGATTTCAAAGAATTGGGTAAGAATGGAAGGTGGTAGTGCCTCAGTCACTGCTGCATTAAAGTGGAAGGCCAGCCAAAAATGTTCTTAAAGAATATGTTACCCTATTTTTCACATTACTGATATGTGACTGTTGTTACTTGGGTGAAATACCTTGTGAAGTGGCTTAACTACATGGGTTGCAATTGAGACCCAGCCCCATGCTCCAGGGGGCCCATGCAGCTCCCCTGCACATCTGAAAAGCAGGAGCTGCTGAAACACTGCACGAGAAAAATGGGTCAGCTGCTGCAGGAGAAAAATGGACAGGATTGGTTCCTCTATATGCCGCCGCCACCCCTCCTATCCAAGTCCTGCTGCCCACAAGTCCCTGTGGAGGTACCACTTGTACACTCAAAAAAAGATTCAGGGAGCATAGGAGAGCAGTCGAGGAGGGCAAGGATAGGACAAGTGTCTCCAGACAATTTCAGGAGTTTCACTCTAAATCGTCCACTCAATTGCAGGTCTGGATAATAGAATCAATCTCATCAAGTCTCCCTGAAGCGGAATGTTTTAAATGTCTGTGTGAAAAGGAAACGTATTGAATCTAGAACCTCGACACACCTTGTCCCGAAAAGGCCTCAATGAGGACCTTGAGATCAATACAGTTTTATAATTTCATGAATCCTACTCTGCGTATCTTCCTCATCCTCTAGAGTTTATCATACTATCTAGTCTTTTGTATGGAGCCCTCTATAGGTTCCATAGGTTTCCCAGCCACATGGCGGGTTATCAGGACACACACAATTATGTATAGGTGTATGTGTGTGTGTATATACAGTCATGGCCGAAATTGTTGGCACCCTTGATATTTTTTCCTGAAATCAAGTATTTACACACAAAAAAGGTATTGCATTAACACATGTTTTTGCTATACACATGTTTATTCCCTTTGTATGTATTGGAACAAATATAAAACAAGGCAGAAAAGCAAATATGACATAATGTCACACAAAACCCCAAAAATGGGCTGGACAAAAGTATTGGCACCCTTAACTTAATATTTGGTTGCACACCCTTTGGAAAACATAACTGAAATCAGTCGCTTCCTATAACCATCATAAGCTTCTGACACCTCTCACCCGGAATTTTGGACCACTCTTCCTTTGCAAACAGCTCCAGGTCTCTCTTATTGGAAGGACACCTTTTCCCAACAGCAATTTTAAGATCTCTCCACAGGTGTTCAATGGGATTTAGATCTGGGCTCATTGCTGGCCACTTCAGAACTCTCCAGCGCTTCTTTGCCATCCATTTCTGAGTGCTTTTTGACGTATTTTTGGGGTCATTGTCCTGCTGGAAGACCCAGGATCTTGGACGCAAACCCAGCTTTCTGACACTGGCCCTACAGTGCGACCCAAGAAATCCTTTGGTAATCCTCAGATTTCATGATGCCTTGCACACAGTCAAGGCACCCAGTGCCAGAGGCAGCAAAACAACCCCAAAACATCATTGAACCTCCACCATATTTTTACCGTAGGTACTGTGTTTTTGTTCTTTGTAGGCCTCATTCCGTTTTCGGTAAACAGTAGAATGATGTGCTTTACCGAAAAGCTCTATCTTGGTCTCATCTGTCCACAAGACGTTTTCCCAGAAGGCTTTTGGCTTACTCAAGTACATTTTGGCAAACTGTAGTCTTGCTTTTTTTATGTCTCTGTGTCAGCAGTTGGGGTCCTCCTGGGTCTCCTGCCATAGCGTTTCATTTCATTTAAATGTCGACGGATAGTTCGCGCTGACACTGATGCTCCCTGAGCCTGCAGGACAGCTTGAATGTCTTTGGAACATGTTTGGGGGCTGCTTATCCACCATCCGGACTATTCTGCGTTGCAATCTTTCATCAATTTTCCTCATCCGTCCACGACCAGGGAGATTAGCTACAGTGCCATGGGTTGCAAACTTCTTGATAATGTTGCGCACTGTGGACAAGGCAAATCTAGTTCTCTGGAGATGGACTTGTAACCTTGAGATTGTTGATATTTTGCCACAATTTTGGTTCTCAGGTCCTCAGACAGTTCTCGTCTCCTCTTTCTGTTGTCCATGCTTAGTGTGGCACAGAACAGACACACAATGCAAAGGTTTAAGTGAACGTCTCTCCTTTTTATCTGCTTTCAGGTGTGATTTCTATATTGCCCACACCTGTTACTTGCCCCAGGTGAGTTTACAGGAGCATCACATGCTTGTAACATTCTTATTTATCCGCAGTTGTGAAAGGGTGCCAATACTTTTGTCCAGCCCATTTTTTGGAGGTTTGTTGTGACATTATGTCGAATTTGCTTTCTTTCCTCCCTTTTTTTGTTTTGTCCCAATACACACAAAGGGAATAAACATGTGTATAGCAAAACATGTGTTTAATGCAATAAAACGTTTCGTGAGAAATACATGATTTCCTGGAGAAATATCAAAATGGGGTGCCAACAATTTCGGCCATGACTGTATATATATAATATATAATATATATATATATATATATATATATATATAAATATATAGTACTAATTTTTTCCATATACCAATATGGTGGCATTCCTAACCTCTACCCTACATAGACTTCTTTTGAGTCATAAACTAGAGATGAGCGAATTATTCAAAAATTCGATTCGGCTGATTCGCCGAATTCGCAGAATAAATTCGATTTCGAGGCGAATATATTCGCTGCGAATTTAACTTATAAAAAGGGTGTTTCTAGGCTTCAGAGAGCCTTTATATTAGTGCAGAACACTGTACCTTTAATTTAAATGCCCCTTGGAGTCCTGCTGGGGAAGAGAAATAATACTGTCAGTCAGTATGACATGCAAGATGAGTGCCGTCGATCTTAGAATCACCGCACACTTCACTCATTTGGGCAGTCACGGGGCCAAAAACCAGAGTGTGGAGCCACAGTGTGGCGGCGGTATAGGAGGCAGCAGCAATGGGAGGCCATACAGCACCCTATGACAAAATGGAACCCACCAGCAGTGTGAGGAGACCTGAAAGTGGCACATGGCAGAGTGTGGCGATGGAGACAGCAGCAAATGGGAGGCCGTACAGGGGACCCATGACACACTCTGGAACCTGGCAGCAGCATGAGGAGGCGGTACAGGGGCCCATGACAGATTACGGGCCTGGCAGCACATGTGGGCGGGCGGTGGATTGCAGCAGTATTCGGAAGCCAAACACAGGCCTCGGTTAAAAAGCGGAAGCCGTCAGCAGCGTTTGAGCAGACGACAGAGGCACATGGCGCAGGGTGGCGGTGGAAGGCAGCAGTATTCGGAAGCCATACACAGGCCTAGGTTAAAAAGCGGAAGCCGTCAGCAGCGTGAGCAGACGACAGAGACACATGGCGCAGGGTGGCGGTGGATGCAGCAGTATTCGGAAGCCAAACACAGGCCCGGTTAAAAAGCGGAAGCCGTCAGCAGCGTGAGCAGACGACAGAGGCACATGGCGCAGGGTGGCGGTGGAGGCAGCAGCAATGGAAGGCCATACAGCACCCTATCACAAAATGGAACCCACCAACAGTGTAAGGAGACCTGAAAGTGGCACATGGCGCAGGGTGGCGGTGGAGGCAGCAGTATTCGGAAGACATACACAGGACTAGGTTAAAAAGCGGAAGCCGTCAGCAGCGTGAGCAGACGACAGAGGCACATGGCGTAGGGTGGCGGTGGATGCAGCAGTATTTGGAAGCCAAACACAGGCCTTGGTTAAAAAGCGGAAGCCGTCAGCAGCGTGAGCAGACGACAGGCACATGGCGCAGGGTGGCGGTGGAGGCAGCAGCAATGGGAGGCCATACAGCACCCTATGACAAAATGGAAACCCACCAGCAGTGTGAGGAGACCTGAAAGTGGCACATGGCAGAGTGTGGCGATGGAGACAGCAGCAATGGGAGGCCGTACAGGGACCCATGACACACTCTGGACCTGGCAGCAGCATGAGGAGGCGGTACAGGGGCCCATGACAGATTACGGGCCTGGCAGCAGCATGAGGAGTCGGTACGGGGCCCCATGGCAGATTACGGGCCTGGCAGCAGCATGAGGAGGCGGTACAGGGGCCCATGGCAGAGTGGCGGAGCGTAAGCAGCTAAAATTGAAGGCCATACAGAGGCCTATGTTAAAAAGTCCCCCCAGCAGCAGCGTGGGGAGACGACTATTAGTCGTCTCCCCACGCTGCTGCTGGGGGGACTTTTTAACATAGGCCTCTGTATGGCCTTCAATTTTAGCTGCTTACGCTTCGCCACTCTGCCATGGGCCCCTGTACCGCCTCCTCTTGCTGCTGCCAGGTCCAGAGTGTGTCATGGGTCCCTGTACGGCCTCCCATTGCTGCTGACTTCATCGCCAGACTCTGCCATGTGCCACTTTCAGGTCTCCTTACACTGTTGGTGGGTTCCATTTTGTGATAGGGTGCTGTATGGCCTTCCATTGCTGCTGCCTCCACCGCCACCCTGCGCCATGTGCCTCTGTCGTCTGCTCATGCTGCTGATGGCTTCCGCTTTTTTAACCTAGGCCTGTGTTTGGCTTCCGAATACTGCTGCCTCCACCGCCACCCTGCGCCATGTGTCGCTGTCGTCTGCTCACGCTGCTGACGGCTTCCGCTTTTTTAACCTAGGCCTGTGTATGGCTTCCGAATACTGCTGCCTACACCGCCACCCTGCGCCATGTGCCTCTGTCGTCTGCTCACGCTGCTGCGGCTGACGCTTCCGCTTTTGCCTAAACTAGTCCTGCTCACAGCTGTGACGGCTTCCGCTTAAACTGTCCTGTGTATGTTGTCGAAATACTGCTGCCTCCACCGCCACCCTGCGCCATGTGCCACTTTCAGGTCTCCTTACACTGTTGGTGGGTTCCATTTTGTGATAGGGTGCTGTATGGCCTTCCATTGCTGCTGCCTCCACCGCCACCGCCATGTGCCTCTGTCGTCTGCTCATGCTGCTGACGGCTTCCGCTTTTTAACCGAGGCCTGTGTTTTGGCTTCCGAATACTGCTGCATCCACCGCCACCCTGCGCCATGTGTCGCTGTCGTCTGCTCACGCTGCTGACGGCTTCCGCATTTTTAACCTAGGCCTGTGTATGGCTTCAGAATAATGCTGCCTACACCGCCACCCTGCGCCATGTGCCTCTGTCGTCTGCTCACGCTGCTGCGTGCAGTTGGCGCGGAGACAGCCAGCTGTCGATTTCTCTGTTCTTTACACTCAGAAGTTCCTCCCCTGTGTGACTACGTTCGCCAAGGCATACCAGGTGCAGCACAGCGTGACACCGTTGCGCCCTGCACATGTGATATGCCGGTCGGGTAATGGGACTTGGCACGGGGGGTGGCGGCTGAGGACACGGCGGAAGAAGAGGTGGTAGAGGCGGACATCTTTGCTGGACCAAGGACGTGCAAACGTGGAGCAAAAGCGGCGTGACCTGTCCAAGTTGCTGGTACGTTTACCCAGTGGGGGCCGTAAATGACATGTACTGTCCCTGACCGTAGTTACAGCTCCACACGTCGGCGCTGCCGTGCACTTTGGCAGAGACCGACATGCTCAAAGACTGGCCCACCATCTCTTCTACATGTGAATGCAGGGCTGGCACTGCCTTTTTGGTGAAGAAATGCCGGCTTGGCACTCTCCACCGCGGCTCGGCACAAGCCATCATTTCTCGGAAAGGTGCTGAGTCCACCACTTGGAAAGGGAGGGACTGCAGCACCAGCAACTTGGACAGGAGGACGTTCAGCTTCTGCACCATCGGGTGCGTGCTCGCAAACTGTTGTCTCTTGGAAACAGATTCCAAGAAAGACTGCTGACGGAATCCGTGAAGAGGAGTAGCAGGAGAAGGAGCATCTGAACGAGCGGAAGATGCCAACGAGCGACAACTCCCCTCAGCAGAGGTGTTGGAGCCTTGACTGGCTGATAGAGGGCGATTGACGTCGGGTGACGGAGCAAGTAACGGAGCGGGTGATGGAGCGGGGGCTGGGGCAGGCAGAACCGCCGTATCTTTATCACGGTTTTTCCCAGGCCACCGAATGGCGACGCTGCATATGCTGACGCAACGCTGTAGTCCCAACATGGGCCCCCTGGCCACGCTTGACTTTCTGGCCACATAGTCGACATACGGCTACGTTTACTTCCTCGGGCGGCTTGACGAAAAATTGCCACACCGCCGAGTAGGAAACTTTGCCCCCGCTACTCCTCACTGGCTGACTGCTACTTCCTCCGTGCACACCGGCACCACTACTGGCCGTGGTGGTAGGCTGCAGTGGAGCTGGTGCTCTACTCCGTGGCCGTTTGCCTCCACTGACACTGCTGCGACCCTGCTGCCTCCTGGGCAACCCACCGACTGTTTTGCTCGCTGGCAAGCTGGCACCCTCTTCTCCTGATGATGCGGAAGCAATAGCCTGATGACGACGAGGCTGCCAAGTGCGATCAGCCTTCATCATCATCAATTAGGGTCTCCGCGTCACTACTAGCCCCCTCGGCTGCGTGTGGGTCAGGAGACAGACCTGTCTCTAGACCGGCTACCAAGCCACTCTCCTCGCCAGTACTTCTTCGCCTGGCTGCTGAAGAGGCGGATGTCTCCCCCCGTTCCTGACCGCCCTCCGTTAGCTCTTCCTCACTGTACAGTGGGGCTGAGCCCACAGCATGCGATACTTCGCTTGGTGAGGGAACACCAAAGGACAGGGGCAGGTAGAGGACACGTGATTTCAGTGGGCTTGCTCCCGGGCCATGCCAACTAACGGTTGTGTCTGACGTACCCACCGACCGTTGGCTGTAGGTGTCAGAGGTGACCTGGGAAGAGGAAAGACGACCGAGTCAACCAATCGATGACGGCAGGGTTGTCGGTGAGACACGACCGCTGGATGACACCGGGAGCACTGGCCTCTGGCTGCGACTAGTGCTGCCTCGACCCCTTCCTCTGCTGCCACATCTGCTCGCTCCTGAAACATTGCCTCCTCTGCCACTCCTCTGCGTGTTGTCTGACATACTCTTTAATTCAATAAGCACCCAAACATAAAACAGGATTTAACTCTTTGAACGTACAATAGTGGTTGTGAAGCAGAAAGTAACGATTCTGTGTCCCTGAGTAACGATCTGTTCTGTCCCTCAAAGTAAACGAGTAACGATTCTGTGTCCCTGTAACGTTCCCTCAGTAACGATTCTGTGTCCCTCAGTAACGATTCTGTGTCCCTCAGTAACGATTCTGTGTCCCTCAGTAACGATTCTGTGTCCGTCCCTGTGTCCCTCAGTAACGATTCTGTGTCTAACGATGTGTCCCTGAGTAACGATTCTGTGTCCCTGAGTAACGATTCTGTGTCCCTGTAACGATCCCTGTGGCCCTAAAGTCTCTGTGGCCCTAACTCTGTCCCTAAGTACAGACAGGTCTGTCTCTCTTGAAAGTCTCTGACCCCTAACTCTGTCCCTAATACAGACAGGTCTGTCTCTCTTGAATGACCGGCTAATGGAGAATTCTAAGATGGCCGCGATTTATAGCTCCACCATTACACAGTGCTGGCTGGCTGGCTGCTGATTGGCTAATGCGATCACATGTCATGAATGAATGCATTATGGGTCAGCGCGCCTTGTCTGCGCGCCTTCCCAGAGATCCCCGCTCTGTCGCCACACATGTCGCCGCCATTTTTTGGGAAAATTCGATTCGTGCATCCGAAGTTTGCTAATTTTCAGATTCGGCGCGAATCGAATTTTTCCTAATCTTCGAAACGAATTCCACTTCGTCATGTTCGATTCGCTCATCTCTAGTCATAACCTATCCTAACTCTGGTCAAGTCCCACCCCCTTGCTGCCCATTAGCAAGAGCACTGCCAGTCAGAGCCAGGTGTTCTCTGTGTCCAGAAGCTCTCCATAAGAATGCAATCAGGGCCTGGCGGCCATACAGAGAACACCTGGCTCTGACTGGCGGCGCTCTCCGCCAGTGGGGGGCGGGACTGGACCAGTGGGAGTCGAGACTTTTAAAACAATATATATATTAATTTATTTAGATGTTCTATTTATATTCTTAATTTAATTATTGTTGTAGTCATTATCTGATTACAGTTATCTGTAGAATAATATATATATATTTATATATACATACACACACAGTTGTGCTCAAAAGTTTGCATACCCTGGCAGAAATTGTAAAATTTTGGCATTGATATTGAAAATATGACTCATCGTGCCAAAAAATGCTCTTTTATTGAAGGAAGATGATCATATGAAGCCATTTATTATCAAATAGTTGTTTGGCTCCTTTTTAAATCATAATGATAACAGAAAATACCCAAATGGCCATGATCAAAAGTTTCCATCCCCTGGAATGTTTGGCCTTGGTACAGACACACAAGGTGACACACACGGGTTAAAATGCCAATTAGAGGTTAATGTCCCACATCTGTGGCTTTTTAAATTGCAATTAGTGTCAGTGTATAAATAGTCAATGAGTTTGTTAGCTTTTATGTGGAAGCACTGACTAGGCTAGATACTGAGCCATGGGGATCAGAAAAGAACTGTCAAAAGTCCTGCATAACGAGGAACTTTATAAAGATGGAAAAGGACATAAAAAGATGTCCAAAACCTTGAATATGCCAATCAGTACTGTTAAATCACGTATTAAGAAGTGGAAAGTTTGGGGATCTCTTATTACCAAGCCAAGGTCAGGTAGACCAAGAAAGTTTGCAGCCATAACTGACAGAAGAATTGTACGGGATTCAAAGAAAAAACCCACAGGCAACCTCAAAAGAAATACAGGTTGCTCTGGAAAAAGATGGTGTGGGTTGTTTTTAAGGAGTACAATACGGTGATACTTGAACAAAAATGAGCTGTTTGGTCGAGGTGCCAGAAAGAAGCTTTTACTGCACCAATGGCATACAGCCCCTTTTGTTTTTAAAAGCCCTAGCCATTCCTAAAAACACCTCTGCATAAAAAAAAAAAAAAAAAAAACCAACCCTTTGCATTTTCCATTCTGGGAATTTGTTTTTTTTTTTTCAGGATTGTCGTAGTAGTAGATTGTCATGAGGGACAAGTAGATTGGGACCTTTGGACAATTAGGTTTTTTTTTTTAAATTCCACATCCCTGTACTAATAGCACTTGACTGATAGTGGCAGATTAGACTTTAGATTATATTACATCCCTGGCCTGCTGGGCTTTATTGTCCTCTGGATCAGCCTATATAAACCTACTCCAAGATGGCTGCTACATGGCCTGAAGAAGGATATCACGTACCTGGTATTTGAGGCCAATGGAGAGAGGGCTTCCCTTGCAGCTAAGTTCCAGACTCCCCTGGATATGGGACAGAAGGAGTCAGGCCCAAAGTAGCACGGGTCGCCTGTAGGAGTGCTTGTCAGAGGTATACCCAGGAGCACAGCTGATGCACTGGAATGGTGTCTGCAGACAGGTGACGCCCGCGAGAGGTATGCAGGCCTTCAGGGTAGCAGAGGACCACAGAGTAGTCGGTTCAAAGCCAAGGTCAGATGCCAGGTGGAGATTGGAGCAGACGTAGCCAGTGGGATAGCCGGGGTCATACACAGGAGAGCAAGTGAGAATATCTATTAGCCAAGCTGGAGTCATATCAGGAGAGCAGGTGGGAATATCTATTAGCCAAGCCAGGGTCAGATTAGGAGTCAGGCAGAGAAGACAGGTCCAGGAACAAGCCAAATCGGTGACAGCAGATCACAGTAGCAAGGGAACACAGACAAAGGTACTGGGGAGTCAGAGATCAACCAGCAATTTGAGGGAGTGATGGGCTTCCTTATAAAGGCCATCTGGCACCAAACTGGGCTAATGCGTGCGTAACTATGTGCCACTGTGCATGCGTGGGTTCTGGCTCGCATCCGTGCGCCAATGTGCATAGATTTTGGCCAGCGTGCATTTCTGCAGCCATG